ACCTACAATCTCTGCATGCCTAAAAGCTGCCTCTGCCTCCTGAACTGCCGATCTTGGGTTCCACTTCCTCCCCTTGGTTGGATTTGGAACCACACTCCTAACTACCACGTCCTTACTCCCAGATAACAACAGCTCTGTCCTGACCTTGGTACATTTAAATTCCTCTGTTAAACAAGATACTGGCAGCTGAAGTATCCCTTTTCCATACAATGCAACACTACTTAGGCACCTAGGAGCGCCCAACCACTTCCTAATATAGGAGCTAACCGACCTTTCAATTCTCTCCACAACGGATATTGGAATTTCATAAATTGACAATGGCCACATTAACCTAGGATATAGCCCAAATTGCAAACACCACAACTTCAACTTTTCTGGAAGTTCTGATTTATCTATTCTATCCAATCCTTCTGCCACATCTTTCCTAAATTTCACCACCTGTTCCTCATCATTCAACTCCACATTGTACCACCTACCTAAGCTCTTTACTGATTTTCCCTAATTGTTGGGATTTCCTCATCATCTATGACAAACTTCCTATCACTGAACTTCCCTCTACGTATCGAGATGCTTCTAGATTTACTAGGCTTGTTCTTCATGCTGGCCCACTTGAGGTTCTTATTTACCTTCTCTAGTAGCCTCTTTGTACATGGCATTGTTGTGGTCACCAGTGTCATGTCATCCATGTAAGCCCTAACTGGTGGAAGATGCAACAAATTCTACCATCTCTCACCACCTACCACCCACTTAGAAGCCATGATGATTACTTCCATAGCCATAGTAAATGCTAATGGAGAAATTGTACACCCTGCCATGATGCCTATTTCTAGCCTCTGCCAACCTGTTGTGAAGCCTGCCGTACCTACTTTGCATTTCCAATGAAATGCAAAATTTAAAAAGAATTTTTGATCTTTGTCAATTTATGTATATTATTACTTTGTTGTTAAAATGGCATTACATTCGGTGAAAAGCACATCAGGACTTGTTTAGGACTCGAAACTCAAAGCATACTTGACTCGAGACTTGTCAGTCTTGACTTGCAAAACAATGATTTGGTCCCATATAACTTGTTGTCCCTGCTTTTAAAACACCCACATTGTTTAAACTCATCATTGTGGTTTTGAAAGAAATCATTGATCAAATGTAAGACGACGCAATATTAAGAAAAACAAATACCACAATATTTTTGACCAAATACCTCAATATTGTTGCTGGACAGTCTGGTAAGTCTCTTTACTGTAATGCAGTCTTTTAAAACCAGGGAAAGACAACACTTACGATATGATATCCAGAACCTAAGATATCTTGTCTCATTTCATGACATGATATGATGCAATGCGATGCGATGTGATACGATACGATACGATAAAACGTGGCTGGTTTACAGCGGTGGTCCCAAGCGGGGCACAGCTTAGTTGACGTCTTTGTTATTGAAGGAAGCTTGTTACATGGTTCGTTCAGTTGTTAAAAGGTTACAATCAGCATTCATTCCCAACTCCAATCACTTCTGCTTGGCAGTGATGAAGACATGACTCCCAGATGGACACACTAATTTTCACCCCTTTTCTGGTGTGATGCATTCACACAGCTCCTTGAAATACAGTCCGTCTTCATCCAAGCAGTACTCAGAAAACAAGTTTGAAAGAGAAACTGAATAACGAACAGATATAAAAAAGGAGAAACCACGGTACATTTTACTGGCCATTATCTGCTGTCGGTCATTAATGTTTCTCTGACGATTAAAGAAATCAACTGATTAAGACGTGGTACTTTGATTTCAAACAGCCTTTACAGTTAAATTCTACATTTGTTGCCATTTTGTGGCCATTCTATTATCACCGTTTTTCAGCTCTGTAGAAAGATGATGCTGGCATTCTCACTGGTTGATTGTTTCTCCAATCAGGAAATACTGCTGTCAATGAGCACAACCAACCTGACCTAACAGAAATAACTGAAATGACCACTACCTCTTAACACTGCATTACAAGATGGCGTAAAATTATGTGCCAGCGCCACAAAAACAATGCCAATGGTAAGGCAGCTACAAACGGTCACAGTTTCAAGCACATTGTGTCGCAGTTTGGTTAGGTTTAGTAACAAATTGTGGTTTCTGTTCTTAGAAGTACATAGAGGACATAAGTAAGTCTTGTCACATAACATGATATAGTGAGGTCAGGTACATAAATATAAACAAAAAAAACTCAACATTGGCTTTTGCTTTCATGAACAGCGGTCTCCTGGGTGAAAATCCTCTGTCCGTTTGATCCGTCCACCAGCCCAACCTCCTGCCGACATGGACTTACTTGCTCTTTATTTTACCTTTCATGTGACTTTGTTCAGGGAATTCATGTGTCCACCACAACAAAGGATCCCCATTAGCCCCTTTTACACTGCCAGATTTTCTGCGACTGTTGGGCCGTTTTGCTGGCCAGCTGCGAGCGTTTAGACACACAGAGCCGGATTGGCGAGTTGATCTGAGGTGCCCAATTTTCCGCCTTGTAGGGTAGACATATTGGCGGAACCCTTTTAGTTTAAACAGACTGAGGCGGCCTTCTGCAACGGGAGGGGCTGTTGAAGACTTGTGGGAGGAGCTGTTGCTGATGTGCGACCCACTGGCGGTGGATAAACAGGAAACAGCTGATAGCAGGAATTAGAAAGCAGCTAGTAGCAAGAGGGAAGCACAAACCTGACAGACACTGTAAAGATGAGTAAGGAATTGCGCACCCTCCTTGCCCTCATAAATGAAGAGGCCATTAACCGTCAGATGACGGGGACGGTGAAGAAAGGCCAACTTACGAGAGAATCGCCTAAAGACTGACTAGCCGCGGCTTCCCTCCTATGTCACTGGTTGCGTCACACACTGAGCTACACATTTTGTTACTTGCTCACGCCCCCATTGCCCCGAAAAAGGCACATTCTGTATAAACAAAGTAGGTAGGCGGCATTTTGCCGCACTCCCCGATTTGTTTTTATACTGCCAATGCTGAAAAAAAAACTGATTGGGCTTTCCTGCAAATTTGCACAATTCCTATCTAAAAAGGGCTATTGACTTTCCATTGGCATTGTTTCTGTGGTGCTGGCGTGTCATTTTAACACATCACACACATTATGTGCCACCACCATGTAATGCAGTGTTAAGAGGTCGTGGTTATTTTTCTGTGAGGCCGGCACAACCTGTTTGAATCTTTGAACAACTTTAAATGGGCTCTGATTCTGAGGTCTGGGAGCAGCCTAATTAAAGCCATTTAATCAAGCTCAGCTAAACTGAAGATCAAACTGACCTGAAAGCTTCTGCTTTTGTCCTGTTTGTTTCGTTGCTCCACTGCTTTGTTCAGACTGAAATATCTCAATAACTAGCAGATGGACTGCCATGATATTTTGTACAGACATTCATGTTCCCCAGAGGGTGAGTCCTTATTACTTTGGTGATCCTCCGACTTCTCATCCAGCTCCATTGTAAGGTTAACATTAGAACTTGTCCAGTACTTTGGTTTATGACCAAATACCAGCAGAGCTAACTTTCATTTTGTCATATTAAGTGTTAGTATGCTGACATGCTAAGTAATGTCATTGTTAGAACACTTATGTTAACATTGTGCTCGAAGCACTGCTGTGTCTAACCCATAGACTTCAGAAATAATGGACATAGCTACTGTGATGTCACCCATTGATTTGTGGACTGCCATTTTGAAGCCTTGAGTTTGGCATTTCAGCCATCGCCATTTTTGTGTTTTGGAGCTAGAAGTGACCATAATTGGATGAGAGGTCTGAGCTGTAACGGAGTGAGGGGTGGATCTGAGTCATAGATGGTAGTGACGCCTTGCAGAGGTCACTCTAGTTACCCTGCCCTAAAATTGCGTACCTTTGAACCCTAATTAAATGTAAATGGGTGAGTTATAAAAAAAAATTGAACCCCTGTGCAGTTGTCATGAATGTTGAAAATAGCTACCAGGCTGTAAATGTTTGTTTCTGCTGTAAAGTTGGGCATTTTAACATGGGGGTCTGTGGGGATTGACTTGCATTTTTTTTGTCTTAAAATGAGGTGTGGTCAGGGGCATTGTTGGTGTATTGCTTTCGTGAGCAGAAAGTGATTGTGCCATTGATCTGTAAAAACCTGGTCTAAAGTCAGAATGTCGCAGTATTTTCCTGCTATTTAAAGGGCGCATTTTTCGCACAGTAAGTTGTGCCTACATAGAAGGGTCCACAATGTGTGTACACTCTGCTTTTTACACACACAGACATGCAGATGGGTTGTGGTGGGGTGGTTTAATACATCATTAATAACGAAATATGAATGACCTTCTCTAAAATGTCAACGTAGCAGAGAGCAGAGCAGAGCTGCTGCTCCACTCCCCAATGAGAGAGATGCTGTGCACATTTACACACAACAAACAACATAACTTTATTATTTCAGAAGCTAAAAGTTAAGTTCCGGTTCCTCTGTATAGTTTATAACTACATTTTTTAGTTTTGCTGCTTAAATGTCACACGATATTTGCTGCAGTAACATTACTGCGCTAACTGCATTATTCTACGCAGAAAACCAATCATTCCTCCAATTTGCCAAATCCGTCATGTAAATAGCAGTGCACCAGATTGGCCTGCAGCCTGCCCAAAACACACCTATGATTAATTAAGGGACTAATTACAACCCCCTTGCCCCTTGTGCCTTACCTTGCACCCAGATTATGTGCCGTTGAACACGGAAAAGTGGAGTTGGACACGCTGTAAATGCACTTGTGCTGTGCACTTTAGACCATGTGGTTTAAATTGTTAGTCTTTGTTGTGTCTTGTTATTCTGAATTGGACCTGTTTAGGGTTACAGTAAACTAATGTATGTCCCAGCGCACATTCAGTGAGAGGCAGGGTACATCCCCAGGTTGTCAGACTGTGGGAACAAACCAACACAGATATGGGAGAACACAGAAAGTTTGAAAACAGGACCGTCCTGCTGACACTGATTCACCATGTCCTGTTTAATCAGAAAGAGTGCACTGGGCTAGTTTTTCAGAGTTTAATTGTCATTATTTTAATATCAAAGGACGATATCATGTTGAGCTGAGGATTCAGTACATCCAAGGGTTTTATGGAAACTGTCATCAAATTCAACAAATAACAGAAATGAAAACAATCACAGCTGGAGTTACACGGTACTGACAATAGATCAAGCCATTCCTTAAGTCATAAATAAACATTCAATATTCATACAGACTTTTTTTTTAAACAAAGAAACCAACTATTTGTCTATTACGCAGTTTAAAACAGCATTCGGAATAGGGAGCTAGAACATAGATTTATGTACAGTTTCTGGTAGATATTCACATTCTATCAAAATAATCCGTTGAAATTAAAGCCTTCAAATGTTGGTAGTAAAAAGGAGAGCAGAGCTGAACACTGACAGTCTGTCTGCTGAAACATTTCAGTCTCCCTGGGCTCAGAGTGTGTCTCTGAGGATCAGTCCGTCTGCTGTGTGTGAGTGTTTCTACAGGTGTGTGCTGTAGAAGGCAGGTGCAGCGTAGCTCTGCGTCCCCAGCATGAAGGGGGACAGGACGTGGCTGGCGGTGAGGAAAGGCAGCTGGACCAGGCTGCCAGTGGGGGGGTGATGATGGCTGGCGTAGCCAGCGTGCATGGCCAGGTGCCCGCTGATCGGAGGGGATGGGCTGAGAGGGCTGAGGCTCCCCAGGCCTCCTCCTCCCCCTGCTCCTCCTGCACCTCCTGTTCCTCCTGTGCCGGTGGGGGCGGAGGTGTCGGCTCCTGGGTTCTGTTTCTTCCACTTGGTCCGACGGTTTTGGAACCAGATCTTGACCTGGGTCTCAGTGAGGGAGAGCGACAGGGCCAGGTTGAGCCGCTCACATACTGACAGGTAACGTGTGGACTTGAATTTGTTCTCCAGCGCCACCAGCTGCTCGTAGGTGAAGGCAGTCCGGGCTCTACGGGGCTTCCCCGACTTGGAGTCCGAGCCAGAGCGCTTCCTCTTGGGTTTGCCCTGTGGGCCCTGGCCCCCGTTGGTCGGGACATTGGTGATCTGGTCTGGAGTGCCTCCTACAGGGCTCTTGGTGTCTCTGCCAGGGTCCTGGTGGCTGTGTTGACCCAGATCTCTGTCCCCGTTGCTAGGCAGAGCTGAGCTGCTCTCCTCACTGCTGTAGGGCCCGTCTGGAGCCTCTGAATCTGGGGTCCCGGATCTGTGGTAGTCATCCTCATCCTGGCTTCTGTATACAAAGCCTTCCTCTGGAAAAACACACACAACAAAAACAACATCAAATTAACATCCATTACATCATCACAATATAAAGCTACAGTAGGTAACTTTAACACAAAAAAAAAAACCCTTTTTATCATATTTGCTGTATCCTGACAGTAGTACATGAGGCAGATAATCTGTGAAAAATCAGGTTTATTTGGCTCACTCTTAGTACTCCTAATGGCATTTGCAAAAATACACCACACCTGAATGAAAACAACCAATCAGAGCCAGGCGAAGTATGCTCTTACTCAGTCAAGCACATTCTCTCCAGTGCACAGCTTCACGAGGAGCTTTGCAAACACAATGGCAGTCTCCTTTTGTGAAACTGAAAGCAAGATTTTCATCATCAGTCTTCTGTTTAGTTGTCTTTGCTGTGTACGCTGTTGTCAAAGTAGGTAGAGCATGTGCCGGGGGTTGGGCTGTGTTGCATATGCATGAGCAGTGATTGACACTGTGTTAGAGACTTCTGGCTCTGATTGGTTGATTTTATTCAGGTGCAGTGGACTCTTGTAAATGCCATTAGGAGCACAGGGAGGAGCCAGAAAAACATGATTTCTTCACAGATTATTTGTCTCATGTTATACTGTCAGTGTTCTACTGTTATGATGAAAAGTTATTTTTTAATTAAAGTTACCTACTGTAGCTTTAACTGCATGGAGCAAGAATAATCAGTGTGTGTGTGTGTGTGTGTATGGGCTGCAGTTCCTCTAGCAGCCACTGTATTCTCGCCTCAAGAAAACCACTAAACAAACTTAAAATGACATTAGTGTCACACAAACATATATTAAAGTGGGAATAATTTGATGGTTTTGCAAAGATAGAATTTTCCCACAAACCCAGGGCTTCATCAATCCAGTAGGAGCCCCCAGGGGCCCTGCTGCCTTTTATGTCCGAGTAAGTGGAATACTACCCTGCCCCACGTTGTTGCTGTGTCACTTAGTTTCTAGGCATTTAATTAAACTCAAATACATAATAGAGATATGCACCATGTAGGCCTAATATCAACTGAAATAATGAAGGCATTCAATTTTAAGTTTGAAACAGGGCCCCTTTACAAGACAAGGCCTTTTTCATTTTAGTTTATATTGTGCTTTGGTGGTGTTTATTACCAAATTTGCAATAAATCAAAGTACCGCCGAGAGGTCCAGGGACGCTCAAGGTGTCTGAGGTTCCTGAAGGCCCCATGTGTAAATGTTGCCAGCTATGCTCAATTGGCAATACAGTTTTGCCCAAGTCCACCTTTGTCCTGGTGTAAAATACAATGTATGGCAACTAGCACAAATAACTTAAGGTGGGTTGAAAAGTAAGTTAACAAGATAACATATGACATAAAAATAATAGCCTAATGAAATAAACAAAATGATGGTTTCAATGAACTTGGCAGTGTGGGGACGTCAACAACAGTCAGCCACAGTAAAAACCCCTGAGGTCTCTTCCTTTAATGTCTAATTAGATCATTTAAACACAAATAATTAAAACTTTTAAAAGACTTCCAGAGGAACTAATCACTGATTGAAAAAGTCATTTTCAGCCAAACATTTGAGACAGCACCAGACTGGGTGAACCCACTAGAGAGAAGTAGGGCAAACATTAAAACTGGGCCACTCTTTGTGTTTAAGTGCCATCCGGTCAGGTGAAATCCTCCCCTCCCCTGCTGCAGTGTGTCTGTTATGGTATTTTGATATTACATATAGTTAACACATTAAGTTAAAATGGAGACACATTAACGCTCTTATCAATTCAGTTTCTATTCAACTGTTGCCAAACAAATTTCAATCACTGTAAATGTGAAATTCAATTACAGTTATTGCCACATAGTGACTTAAGGGCCACTAAAGGTCTGGGCCCCGCAGTGCCCAGTTGGTAATCCAGCCCAGCTCATGTGTCTAAAATTTGTACTTATTGCAAAATAAAAAAATACATTTAAAAAATTCTAAAAATATGACTTAACATTTTCCAGTTATGTTACAAGTACAACATTAAAAACTCTTTGAAAGAAGCATTTCTCATTAAATTTGTCACTTTTAATAATTCCGTTACCATCTCCAAATAAATACACCTGCATGCCCAAACATCTATTGTGTCATGTATTTTATAACTACAATAAAACAGAAATGAAAATAAAATAATAGTTAAAGTGTGCTGGTTTGGTTGGCTGAAAATTAAAAAAGTTTCAAAAAATTATTGCAGATTAAAAGATATAAAACATATTCACTTACGGGCTGTTATTCCTTTTTTTCATGGCCCACAAATTTTAATTATTATTTTATTCATTGTAAAAATGTTATCATTAACATTCATGCTGATATTGAAATGTAATTATTCAACCAGCTTGCCATGTTCAAAATTAAAATCCTATATATTATTTGAATGTTAAGTCTTTACTTTATATTAGCTTCTGATTGGCTCACACTCATAAAAAATAAAAACAAAAACAAACAAACAAAATAAAGAGGTTTTTGTTGGGCGCAAACATGCTGTTGTTGTTAAAGTAATTAGTATTAAATAGTAATTAGAAAAATATTCATGATGTAGGTGACAGCACATACCTGGCAAAACTTGTAGACTTCACCAAAATGAATTAGATTTTTAAAAATGTTTACAATGATGCCTCTTAATATTAATATTCCTCTCTAATTTACTATTTACTAATCTTCGCCACAGTCAATAATAATAGTAAGGTTGTGGCTTAAAACTACATATCAGTCAAAATAAACTCAACATGTGTTTGATAAGATTGGAGTTATTTGTAAAGGGTTATTTATATTTATATAGTGACATGGTCTCCTGCAAGTCAAATAAAACAATATATACCAGACCATAAATTTGAGCAGTGCTGTGGAGATGAATAGGGTAAATGTACTTTTGAATAAAAGACAAATTCCGTTGATTATTCTTCTAAACGTATCTCAACAATCTTTGCTCTGCTATTGGTTAAATATAAACATATCTAAAAACAACAAAAAAACATTTAGGTTATATTTATATTCGGATGCTATGTAATAACCAGAGGTCAGAAAAGAAGTGAAATGAAATCTGACTATTTAAGGATTAAAAAGAAGAGGAGAAAACATATGGGGAGTGAATAAAAAAAGACAAAAAATAACAACAAAAACTAAACAGAAAAACAGCCAAACAATGGTTTGACCGGACTTTACCAGCTAATGACCTGAGGTATAATATCAAACAGAGGAAACGGAGTTGATTAGAGCTAATGGGTTTGAATGGAGGCTAACCCCCCCCCCCACACACACACACACACACACACAGACACACACACACAATACAGACTGCTGTTTGAAACAGATATTCACCGATCAATATTACCGATCACACACACACTCTCACACACGCACTTACGCATGCACGCACGCACGCTCACACTCACTGTGGCCAATTACCTCGCGCCTTTTCCCTCTTTTAACCGAGCTTCAATTAAAGGCGACGTGTTTTTCTTTTTCTTTGGCCGAGAACAAACTGCCGTGAGTGAACATTTTACACTTCCTATCAGAAACACACTCAGGACGACAGCTCTCCTCTTTTTTATTTAGTGGCTATAGACTGCAGCTCATAAAGACGCTTCTCTTCTGTGTCGGCCTGTCTGACCATTACAACATTTATTCCTATTTGGGCTTCTTTCCGACACATTACTGATTCAGTAAACAGAAAAGTTGCTAAACTTATAATTCAGTGAAACTAGTATTCACGCAGAAAATTGAAAGTACAAAAAAAATTAAAAGAACATTGACAAAAGTTACCAAATCTAAATGATTATTTTGATACATAAAATAACACAAAACACACCAAAAAAGGAAATCGAATAGACAAGAAAACAAGGCGAAAGAATACCTACTCATCTCCATAAAACTTTGGTCTACTTAAGAATTAGGCCTATTGAAGAAGGTTAAATGCTGACTGAAAATCACCAAAACACAAACATAGATTGAGATTTAGAGGAGCGAAAATTATTTTAAAGCGGCTAAATTACTAATGCAAATTGAAGTGTCCATTTAAAGACATTTTGACAGAGAACAAAAAAAAAGGGTACTGAGGGGGTGAGTGGTGGGAAAATAAACCAAACTAAAAAGACAACTAACATTACCCGGGACATTAAAGAGCCAGGGTTTAAAGATTAATTCCGTGTAAACTGTGACTTACTGCTCTGGTATTCCTCCGCACCGTAGCAGCCTTTGCTGGGCTCCAGGCTGGGCTCGCGCTCCCCCGTGCTTCCTCTCCGGTTCTCTGCTCCGTACGCGCTCAGCTCGCGCTCACCTCGGTGGCTCGCGTGCTGCTGCTGCTGCTGGAGTCGCCGGCTGCTCGTGAACTTGTTTGGGTCCAGGATGTCCAGTACGGAGAAAGAGGTGGTCCGGTGCCCGGTAGGGCCCTGGCAAATAACGAATATTGGGATTATTCATTCACAACATATTTTTTATTTTTCAAATTAGGGTCAGGAGATTCATTTCCGTTTGAGCTTCCTGTATTTCTTCTTTGGCCCATGCAAAGAATGTGATCCATGTGAGAGTTGATGTGCTTCTTTTGTTCCCTGGTTGATTTTTTTTAAAACTTATTTTTAATCAAATGATGTACTCATTTATAGGCTAAAAATGAATTTATATTATATTTCAATAATCAAAAATATTATGATAATAATATTAAAATGTTAATAATAATAATACAAGTTGTAATAAATATCGTATAATCCGTGAAATACAGCTTAATTACATTAGTGTCTATATCTGTGAACACTGCTAAAGCATTGAAGCAAACTATGACCTGCAGTTAGACAAACACTAGCACACATCAAAGCCAATAAAACTGTATTCATAAAGAAAACAGCTAACAACATGAACTCAAATCAACTACATTTCCCATATCCAATAATTAGCGGTCAGTCAGAAGGCCAGCGAATCAACCCTGTTTTATTTATTTTATTTTCTACTGTCGAAAGAAAAGCAGACAAAAAATGAAGCAAACTCTTATTCTAATTATTTCCAGGGGAAGATAACTTTAAAACAAACATGCGCGTTTATTTTCTTCTCCAAAAATTTCCCTGTACTCCTATAATTTACATCAGCTTGACCCTGTGTGTGCACGCCGTGTTTACTGTATGATATAGATATGTACACTGAATTTATATCCTTAAGATTTATGTCGTGCCAAAAAAAGGTGGCCAACTGTATTAAGCGGATAAAAGATGGTGCGGTGGCTCAGCGTGGCTTTCCCCCTGCACTACATCCTGATTAGGATCATTCATTTATTAATGAGGCCAGTCTGGAGCATGTCGACATGAATAATCCCACATTAATAATATCATAATTCTCTCTTTAAATAATCCGAGGGAGCACGCGGGTAAAACCCAGGGGCCTATTAACATCTGATGATAAGAATAATCACACAATACCATGATCAGAGCTGTGATTAACAGGAATAATCCTTTATTTAAATCCTTTATTTATTTAAATACGGAAGAGTTCGCAATAAACCTGCTGGGCTTTAATCTACAACGATACTAATTTTAATGCAAGAATATACATATTAGAGATTAATCCTGTTTTTTTAGGCAAACATTTTTAAGGATATGGTATTTTTAAAAAAAAAAAAATAATAATTTATGGAATTTTCGTTAATTTGAGAGTTATTCAGTTTGTATTGTTTATATGCTGCGATTCAGATTAGTAGTAGAAGTAGAAATCGCATGCTTTAATTTGTTTTTATTGATTTCGAGCGCAATAGAACAGCTTTGCAGAGAGAAATTCATTTTCCTGTGAGCTTTTATGGAAACGCATTTGATGATAGCCTATCTGTGTAATTTATTTTTATTGTTTCCCATCACATCACCGCAGCAAATTGGCTGTTAATTTTACTGCTATATCTTAATTAAGGCCTCATCTGCTTGCTCCAATCGGACAGCCACGACAGGACAACACAGGACCACAGGACGTTTTACATCACCAGACCATACTACCATCAGTATCTTAAAAACTGAAAACAAACAAACAAATAAACATCCTAAACATCTTTCCACTCTATTTATTTCCCAGTTTTTCTGAGTCATGCTTAATTTTCGGCAGATAATTTGCGCACTCTGGTGACGCTGCAATCCTACTTTTCCGGTACTTTTAATAACAACAATGCTCACCAAAATTGCCGTTTATTTTCATGCAATCTGCGGTGTTTACGTGCTGTTTCTGTTGTGTCACCTCAACTAATCTATTTTTGTTTTCACTAAATGTTTCTTCAGTGTTTTACCGTGGGACTGCTACAGCTGCACACTTCCCCACAGAAAACCCATGAACTTTGCTCCCATGCATCTACCTGCTGTTGCGGGGCTAACACCGGGTTCGTCGGCGGGGGTTCCGAGTGGTTCTCCACGGCCTGAGCATCTCTACCCCCGGACACCGCGTTGGAGAAGAGCCGCTTCTCCCCTGGAGCACCTCCGTCCAGCATGTCTCCGCTGTCCGGGCCCACCACGGTCTGGACCCCGTCACCGCCGGGCGCCGGTACCGCTCTGTCCCGACTCATCACGGGCTGGACCGCGTCCGCAACGGGCCCTGCTACGGCTCTGTCCCGGCTTATCACGGTCTGGACCCCGTCCGCTCCGGGCCCCGGCACCGCTCTGTCCCGGTTCATCACTTTACTCTCCCTGTCCCATATATTAAGAATCCGGATTAAAAAGCAGGAGCGATTAGAAATAGCCTAATAAAAAAAAAAGATTCACACCAAACCGGTTTAACGGGACTGTATGGTGTTCATGTGGAAATAAAAACTTGTCACCGCAGGCCGGTTCATGAGTCCCGTCAACATCCGGTGTGAGATGATGTTTTCAGCCCGTTAAAGTTTCCCATAAGAGTGTGGACGGATGGAGGGCTTCAGCTGGGTCCCGTCAAAGTTTAAACTTCTTCTCTCTGTCTTCTCCTCTCCGGCTCTTTTCCCTTCATCATCCGCATCCACCGCGGCAACACAACGTCTCCGGTGATCTAATGTCTGTCTGTCTTGTACGCCGCCGTTATCCCGTGTTGGCACACACACATAAACAGCGATCGACGTCCCGACCTCCAGCCTCGCGCGCTCTGTCTGGTCACCGGTGGGTGCGCGCTCTGGAAGGCTGACAGGAGTTGAAGGCGGGACGGACGCTGATCTATCTCTCTAATAGTTAAAACTAGCTCGCGCCCCTTCCCTCTCTCTCTCTCCCTCTCTCCCCATTAGTTAAGTGAAGCCTCCTCTCTCCTCCCTATCCTCTCTCCCTCTCTCCTTCTCTCGCTCCTTCAGCGCGTGCAGCTCTCAACGCCTTTTTTGGCTTTTAGCTGGCCCCTCGAGGACCCGCTATCATATACTCACATACCCTATGTCTATGCGTGTGTGTGTGTGTGTGTGTGTGTCCGTCCGCCTCCCTCCTTATTTATGCATTCCTATTCAACTCTATGGGTTGTAATTGGCTACAAATGAATCCCACTTCCACTAATAGTCTATTATCTCGGGGCTGCGCGCGGAGCAGCGCGGTCCGGGCCAGCTCGCTGTGTGAGCACTAGGAGAGACAGTGCGGGAAGCGCGCGCTGGCTCTTCTCAGTTTTATAGGCTCACAGACCATACCATGTTAATTTGTTTACATGTACACAGAAGCAGGGGTGTCATTGTAGCGGGGGAAGTGGAAATGATTACCCAGGGTGCCAGTGGGAGGGGGGAGGTGGGCCTTGAAAAGCTGGTAATAAAAAGTTAAGTTTTTTGTCCATTTTTTAAATTTTTATTTCTAAGTAATATGTGCTATGCATTAATTAAAATTGTCCAAATAAATCAGTTGAAAGACTTTATATAAAAATTGTGGATGCTCTCTGAGGCCCCTCTCCCCCCTTGAAGGCTCTAAATGGTTTAGTCTGCCCCTGCATTTTTTTGTCTCTAAATGTTATGCTGCTGGGACACCAACTGTAATGTCTTTCCCAAAAAAAGGAAATCATGGTTCCAAAAAAAGAGAAGAAAGCCAATTGACTTTGTGAAAACAAAAATCAAAAGGTGTGTGAGAGAGACAGGGGGCCACAGACTGCTTATGGGGTCCAGATTTTGGTGCTACGCCCCTGCACACAAGTGAAACAGCGTTGCAGGTGAAATATTAGCCCGCATGTCGCAGGTGTAGGCGTACAGGTACGTTGACGACGGTCAATTCTAAGTTATGATCGCTAAAATCAGTGTTAACCAGTGTGCGGCAGAGTTACAGTAGCTGGTGTGTTGCAAGGTTAACTGGCGTGCGCTGTAATTGATGTGTAGCTGATGTGTAATGTGTCGCCTCGCTCAGCTTTACTTGTGCATCCACATGAAAGGAGCCCTTATCTTTAATGCAGATTCCAGGGTAGGGCCTCTCCTCAAAACTCAATTACGGCCTGAATAAAGCCGGTAATGTCCCCGCTGCAGTGAAATATTGATTCCTAATCCTTGGCAGTCATTACTATGCCAGAAAATAATAGACCACAGAATTGGATTTTGATTTAACACACGACGTGTTTATTCTAATGCTAGGGACTTAATATTCCGTTGACTCTCATTTTCAGCCACAGAGGAGAGGGGAATAGTGATGGAGGCTCTGACGCCACACTTTTTATATTGTTGTGGAAGAAATTAAAAAAAGAGAGAGGGGTGATGGGACATCTTTCCTGTCCGCCTCCCCGGCCCTAATACACAAGGTCAGCTCCATGTAATTGCCTTGCTCAATGATCCTTAGGAGGAAGAAATTAAAAGTTGAGCAAAATAATGACTGAAACAATGAGACATGATTAGCCAATCAGAGAGCTAAACCCATTACGGGAGCCTTTTGATGTACTTCCTGCTTCCGCCCGGAGGCTTTATGGCTTTATTTTAAAACAGTCAATATATTAACCATATTAAATATCACAGCAGCTTATTCACCTTGGGAAATATTAGCATTTTAACTATGGTGGAAGAAAACTATAAAGCACTGCCAACACACACTGCTACAGGAACAGTGAACAGAGAAGAAGTGGTGGGGGAAATCAGCCAAGTGAGTATGAAAGAGTATTAGATATTATTATATATATTATTTTATCTGCAGATGGAGTCAGGCAGCTTCTCCTGGGTTTCACTGAGAGTGGATAAATGCCAGGATGCCATGTCAAATTAAAGATGTAGCTTATCACAATTTATGGCATAAAAGATGTACTAGTGTGAGTTCAAACATCAATCTAACTATTCCAAAACACATCAGCGACAGCACAGTGAAATAATGACATGTATGTCATGACATGTCTCTCGACCTTTGAGCCTTGTACCAGTTATACTGGGCTCTGAATCCACTTGGAATCCTGAAACTTACTGAAGAATTTACTGTAATAAAAGTCATGTATTTATATTGTACTGTTATCTGCAGAAATTAAGAGGCTACAGTTATAATATTTATAATAATATTACAATAATAATAATAATATGTATGTTGCAAATAATGGTATGATAATGATAAATAAATGATTATATGATAATAATGCAAATGCCAACAATATTAACAAGAACAGTAAAGGTAAAGTACAGTACATAAAAGTTTGCAGTAAAATGCCATAAGTGTGTGTGTGTCAGGAGCTGGTTACTGACTTATAATTAATAATTCACTTAGAGTAAAGATCTGTAAAATGTTCTCACTTAGCAACCTTTTCTACTTCATTTTATGATTGTTATGAGGACAGTCACTCCTCACTATGATAGTAGCACAGTAATTCACACACAAATACACTCATGCACACACGCACACACGCACACACGCACACACACGCACACACACGCACAGTGGCAGTCCTGGTTCCCACAGTGTGTGCCAGCAGACACTGTGGGAACACTCCCAAGCCTCTCCCTCTCACCAGTCAGCATGCATATGTGCATGTGCGTGTGTGTGTGTGTGTGTCTTGTGTCTATAATTATTCTAATGAAGGTTAACGAGCTCTGCTCAGCCTCCTCTTTATTAAATTAATCTCAGCCAGTAATGAATCATAATTACTATAATTAGCAGCTTGAGCTGCCTGATCTCATACTGGTGGCTGGTCAGAGTGAGGTGATGATACCGAGGCTTTCATCAGACCCACAACCTTCATCTCCTCAGCCTGCCGCTGTCTCCACTGTCTCTGTCTTTGCTTGGTTTCAACATGTACCAGATCCACACTGAACATTTATGAAAATATATCCTATTACTGAGTGCACACCTCTGATGCACTTTACATTTATATTATTATTATTATTACTGCAGAATTGATCGATTCTTCATGGGATGAATTCCCAAACATAGTTGTGTGCATGAATAACTTCCTTTTATTATTGTTATTAGTATTAATTGTTTCCTATTACTTGTATTCCATGGCACATTCCTGTAACACAAAAAACATATTTACTACATATAATGTTCACATTTTAATACATGCATTATTGTATACACTTACTTGTGTTTTTGTGGAATATGCACATATTTGCAAATCTTCTGATATTATTGGAAATCAAATATCATCATTTTTTGTGTCCAATATATATAAGAAAAAGAGACCAGGGCCAGGGCGATTGCACTAGGGCCCATGGGGTGGAGGGGCCCAACTGTCACCTGAAAATACACCCATGTTCAAGGAGTAACTCACGTTAAATCCCATGTGTGATTTTCTACATATGCCCTCAAAAAGGCACACACATATTCATTATGTTTTTTTGTTTTTGTAAAATAGTATCCATCTCTAACAAATTATATGCTTATTCTACATTAACTATTAAACATCTGTAATTTAGCCATAAAAACTAATTAGTTAAACTAATAATTTCCTATTTTCTGTTGTAGTTTTTATCATACACATTTGTAAGTTATTTACAGTAGCTAGTGTAGATGCAAAATCTTTCAAGACAGACAAGCGGGGCACATCTACACACACACACACACACACACACACACATATATATATATATATATATATATATACACACACACTGTGTGTCATAATCATGACTTCATGTTAAGTTGAGCGAACAGTTTCAGCAGAGAGTTGTTGTTTGTGAGGCCTGTCAGAGTTGGACAGGTGTAACAGAGAAATAGTGACAGGGAACACTGCATACTTAGAAATAACTTCTTAAAAATGTAAAAATATTGCATACTAACACAAAATGTCTGCTATCAACAAAGCTGACATCTGTCCAAAACCACTGGCTTTCAAAAACCTATATCAGTATAACCTGTTTTTTATTATTTAACATATAGTTCAAATTATTTCCCGTCTCTGACTCCATCCCTGTCTCCCTCCTGTTTCCATCTGTCTCCGTGCTTCCTCCATCCCTCCTGTTTTTCTATTTGGTGTCTTTTCAAGGTTTCTATATTTTAGATTAGCCCTCCTCCTCTTCCCCATTACAGGAGTAATAGCCCCCCATCCTCCACTCACACACACTTGACCCACACACACACTAACCGCCCCCCTCCATACACACACACACATACCCACAGTTAGACACTCAGATAACATCTGACCTGAAGAATTAATTAAATATGATAGCTGATTAAAAATAGCATAACTAATAGTGTAATATCTCAAGCTGTCGTCTTTAATAGTCAACATTGTGTGTGTGTGTCTTATCTGCTGCAGACAGACGCTCTCACTATTGATTCCTGTTCATTTCAGTTGTCAGGCAGACCACTCAGCTCATCTGGAATCATTAAACTCTACTGTCTGCCTGTCTCTGACTGTCTCAGTCTCTCTCTATGTCTCTCTGCCTGTCTCTCTGTGTGTGTCTTTTTCTTACCTGATTCTCCTATCCATATTTGAATCCAGCACATTTTAAAACTGGACTGAAACTGTGCAGCAGCATTGAATCCAGGCAATATAACAATCACTAATTGACTATCAGTAGTATTAGCAGGATGAGGATATCTTCTTCCTCTGTGCTGTAGAGCTCCACTGTTGTTAAAAAACCATCACTGAGCCACACTGTTGCACTGGGTGACATGTTCCTTCATTAACACAAACACACACACTGTAGTTAATTTTGGTTCAGCCCCCTTTAGACTGTCCTGCTGTCCCAAATACCCACTGGTACAATGCAATTAGTACGATAGTGTTACACTACAATGGCCAGCAGTTTAGGGAGTTAATTCATTTTAAGTTTTAAAATCAAATTCAAAATCAAAATGAACAAATTCAGTGAAAACTAAAACCAGCTATGTATAGTCCGTCTCACAATACCTTTG